ATCTTTATGCTGGCTCTGGCGGGCAACTTTTGTTATCCCCCCGAAAACCCCGAACTTTATTATCCCTTAGGTTTATTAGCGGGGGCATGGGGCTAGCAACGCCCAAGCTTCGCCTCGCCTCCCCTCGGAGGCGGCGGCCGCGCCGCCGCCCGGGGCGGTGCCCAGCACGCCGCCCGCCACGCGGCAGCCCGCGCCGCCGCAGGCCGGGGCGCGCGGCTGCCTGCCTCCTTCTCCTCCCCTTCCTCCCCCTCCCCCTCCTCCTCCTCCTCCTCCTCCTCCTCCTCCTCCTCCTCCTCCTCCTCCTCCTCCTCCCTCCCCCTCCTCCTCCTCCTCCTCCTCCTCCTCCTCCTTCTGCTCCCTCCTCCTCCTCCTTCCTCCTCTTCCTCCTCCTCCTCCCTTCTCCTCGTCCACCTCTGGCTGGTCAGTGCAAACGGGAGTCCGTCGGAGCGCCAGATCTCGCAGGATCCTGCAGGATCCTGCAGAGCCAGGGTCGCATTATCTCGGGGTTGGGTGCAGGATCCTGCAGGATCCTGAAAAGCCTGACTGGCCCGGGTTTGCATTGACCCGGGTCAGAAGATCCCCGACCTGCAGGCGCCAGGCAATGTTGATATGTCAGAGCCCCGAATTATCAGGGTTGGAGGTGGTCAGGGGTGGCTCCTGACTCGTACCTCGGGGGCCCAAACCGGAGTTGCCCTGGACCGGAGTTCTCCCAGATATCAGGAGGGGATAGACCGCACACTGACATAGTGAATCGCCGATCCCGGGGAAAATATGGGAACATTTGAGAAGTTGGGGGGTATCACAAAATACTGGGACTTGTGTGTGTGTGTGTGTGTATCTATTCGTGCCCCCTTTCGCTTCAGATCGCTGCACATGGTCTTCCCCGCGCCATCGCACGCAGCCTCCCGCGGCGGGCCTCCCCCCACCCCGCCGGGAGGCGCGCCCATCCTCTTTCCCGAGCCTGTTCGGTGCTCGTCCACCCGCTGGCCTCCGTGCCGCCCGCTGCGCGCCGCCTTCTCTGGCGCCTGCCGCCCCACCTGCGGGCTCACAGGTGGAGCGTCCTCTCCCCTGTTCGTTTCCCCTCACTCACTCACTCACTCGCTCGCTCACTCACTCCTCCTCCTCCTCCTCCTCCTGCTCCTCCCCCTCCTCCTCCTCCTCCTCCTCCTCCTTCTGCTCCCTCCTCCTCCTCCTCCTCCTCCTCCTCCTCCTCCTCCTCCTCTCTCCTCCTCCCTCCCTCCTCCCTCCCCCTCCTCCTCCTCCTCCTCCCCCTCCCTCCCTCCCTCCCTCCCTCCCTCCCTCCCTCCCTCCCTCCCCCTCGCTTGCTCTCCCTCGCTCCGCGCCGCCCTGGCGCTGCCGGGCCCCGCTGGCGCCACCCGCCGGGGGCTGGCCGCCAGCTGCCGGCACCCGCCCCGGGCCTGGTCTCGCCGCCCGCCGACGGCGCCACGGCCCCGCGGCTGCGAAGGCGCCCGTGCCGGCCGCTCGCAGGCTCCCGGGCAGCGCCGCCCCGGTGAGAGCGAAGTTCGCAGGCAGCCCCAAGGCAGGCCTTGGCAAGCGTGCCCCACGGCGCGGGGGCGTCTGCAATCCAGTAGACGCACGCTGGCGCACGTGCGCTCGCGGTTGCTCACGAAGGCTGCTGGGTTCGGCAGCCTCGGCTCCGACAGCGCTCGCTACGCACCCTCCACCCGGGACTCGTAAAACGACGCGAAGTTCGGGACAAGATCGGATCGGGACAACTCGAAGTCTCTGAGAGTCGGCGGGTTTGGAGGATGTGTTGGGCGCCGCGGCCGCTCCAGAGCGTTCCGGAACGCTCTGAGAGCGCTCCGGAACGCTCTGGAGCGATTTATCCCGATCCTAGCCCTGTTTTAACTCGTCTTCGCACCGGGCCCCGCCGCCCTTGGCCCGCTGTCGCAGCAGCCGTCGCGCGCCCCGCGGCGGGGCCGGCCGCGCCACACGCTCGGGGAGCGCTCTGACCGCTGAGCCGCCCGCCCCGTCGCCGTTTTCCTTCGGCCGCGTCCTTGCTTCCTCCTGCTCCTCCTCCTCCTCCTCCTCCTCCTCCTCCTCCTCCTCCTCCTCCTCCTCCTCCTCCTCCTCCTCCTCTTGCATGGTGGCACAATTCGCCCTGACGGCATCCCCGCTTAAGCCTTCCATCGCCAGCGCAGTCACCCTGTACCCAGCCGCCGACGCAAAGAGAGATTAATTTGTGTGTGTGTCCCTGGGCCCCTTCAAGGTCACTCGGACGAGAACAACCGCTCCCGGATCATCGGGCCTGGGGGTGGTCGAGGGTAATCTTGGTTCGTGCGTCGGGGGCCCAAATCGGAGTTGCCTTGGACCGGATTCATCCCAGATATCCCGGGCGTCCAAAATCAGGGGCCACGATGGGCAGGTTCAATATTCTGGTGTGGCCATGATTCGCGTACCCCCTAGTAACGCCCGCCTCTTGGACGCCCCGACATGAGGACCACTTCGAGCTCAAGACGTCGTCGAGAAAAATCCGTTCTACCCTGATAACACAGTGAAGGCGTGGTCTCACTTAGGTCCCCGTGTGTTGCCGTAGGGATTATAATTTTAGGCGTTTTGGTTCGATACAGATGTAGAAGAGACTCCGTCTCCCAGATGTGTTTGGCCCTCACTGTTCTTCGGATGGGTCGGGAAACCTCTTCGTGCCCGAGGTTCTCCGCAGCCGGAAAGGCCACTTCGTCCTTCATCCAGCGCTCCCTGTGGTAGCGCGATTTGGTAATCGATGAGGCAGTGCCGGTTTAGTCTAGTGTCGATAGAGCGCCGATGCGCGTCGATTCGCAAGAGCCAGCAAGATGGCGCGGGGGGCCCCCGTGAGCTGCCGCGGCGTCGACCTTCAATCGCCCAGCCATCGCTGACGGGGGCCCGATGGCCCACCCCGCCCAAGAGCATGCGGATCCGTTATCGGGGGCTTGTAGCCGACCCGTTCGGCAACGCATCGCCGATTCCAGCTCGATGCTTCCCCACCTGAGCTGGTCTCCCACTGACGTTGCCCCTCCCATCCAAGCAACGCAGAGCAATGCCAGGCAAAAGCTCTGCATCGCAGCACTTTGCACTGCGCAAAGCACTGCTTCCTATTGCCTCGGAATGCTCTAGGAGGCCCATAATCGGGGCGCCGCGACGCCCTCGAGGCCTCACTTCGTCTGGGGGTCGGCGGAATGGCGCAGGCCTCTTGGAGAGACGAGATGACGTCCACATTCCGCATTCCACATGCAGGAGGAGGAGGAGGGCGGAGGAGGAGGAGGAGGAGGAGGAGGAGGAGGAGGAGGAGGAGGAGGAGGAGGGCGGAGGAGGAGGAGGAGGAGGAGGATAGGAGGAGGAGGGAGGAGGAGGAGGAGGAGGAGGAGGAGGAGGAGGAGGAGGAGGAGGAGGAGGAGGAGGAGGAGGAGGGGAGGAGGAGGAGGAGGAGGAGGGGGGGGGAGGCAGTAGACGCGCGGGGACCGAGGGCTGCAGGGAAGCGACCCCGAGGGCGCCCTGGACGGCTCGTACGCTGCCGCCGTGGGCCCGGGAGGTGCACCAGAGAAGGGCGTGCGCGCCTTCGTCCCGCGCGCTCCCTGCGCCCCCTTTGCGCGAGCACCCGATCCGGCCGGGACGCGGGCAGTGCCACGGAGGGATCCTCCCTCGCAGCCGCAGCGGGGTGGGTGCCCCTCTCTCCTCCCTCCTCCCTCCTCCCTCCTCCCTCCTCCCTCCTCCCTCCTCATCCCTTGGGGGCACGGCCCACGGCCCACGGACCCAGGGCCTCTCGGAGGGGGTCCGAAGGGGTGGGGCCGGAGGGTCGCGCCGCATCGCCGACGCATCGGCGATGCGGCTCGGTCTCGGGCCCGACTTTCTCCATCATCATCATCATCATCATCATCATCATCATCATCATCATCATCATCATCATCATCATCATCATCATCATCATCATCATCATCGGCGATGCGGCTCGATCTTGGGCCCGACTTTCTCCATGCCGACGTCGCCGATGCATCGCCAGCGTCGCCGATGCACCGGCGGTGCATCGGCGATGCGGCGCGGCCTTCTGACCCCATGTGTGCTCGGAACCAATCTGGGAGGCCTCCAGTTGATGGCTTCTCGGGTGTCCCCACTGCGAAGTGGACCCACTGATAGGCAATCACTGAATTTGACCCACCGATGGCCCACAGATGCACTTTGGCACACGAATGACCCAATAAGGATCCTCGAATGACTCGCTTACTCTTTCCCGTGCACTGTCGCGATTGAAGAGATCATCAGTTCGGAATCGGGTGATCACTAGCGCGCCTTCAGGCCAGGTCCATAGGTTTTGTGGGGGCCATAGTCAAGTCCCAATGTGTTTTTAGCTAGGTCCAAAGGCTCTGTGGGTGCTATTCGCTAACAGGGGCAGCCAATCTACTCTCGGTGTGATGGAAGTTGTGACGGCAAGACAGGACAAGCGCATGCTGCGCAGGACAAGCCTATGCCACGGAGAAGACATCGCGAGCGGAACGAGATAAGCGCCCTCGACTCAGGACAGCCCACCACCGCGCACAATCGCAAGAGAATGCGCGCAACGGCCAGCACGCGAAAGTCTCGCGCTTCCCGTGACACAGTTAGGGCTATGCTGGGGTCATATACGATTCTTGCATAGTCTCGGCTAGGCTTGGGGCAACAAACCGAAGGCTGCCCCAGAGCTTCGCAAGCGTTTGCGCGCGGCTTCGAACACCAGTTCCTTCTGCTGCCACGCACCGCCCGTGAAGTTTGCGGTCGGGGGTAAAGTTTGCTTGCAAGGGGGGATGGGGGGGGGAATTCGTTCTTTTCGGATATATCTCCCATGTGGGGATGAATGAGAGGCGGGTGAACATGGCAGGCCCATGACCTTGTACCCAATCAGCCCACATGGCTTTTGCCCGACAGTTGCCTTCAGAGGCAGTGTGGTTTGCCCGAGCCGTTTCGGGCCGCCAAGTGGCGATGTGTTGTACGTGAGTATTGCCTCAGTCACCGCCGGCACCCAACGCCAGGTCAAGTGGCAGCGCATGGAGTCGAGAACTCAGGCCCGCCGCCGCTCCTGCTGCCTTCCCACCCTCTTGCGTGTGGCCACAGAGCAAGACTTACGGCAATGTCTTACCAGTGGAGGACACGAGCGAATGAGAAAGAGCATGTCTGGAAATTGCTGGAAGACCATTTTGGTGTACACATGTTGGGAGGTCGGGACTACATGCTTCTGACGCCGTCCCTGCGCCTGGGAGTTGTCCCAACAAACATTGAAGATGCCAAGAAGGGATTGAGGCAGGGGAGGTTGACCCAGCCCCGCTGAATTCCCTATGCAACAGTTGCAACGAGGTCTCATAAGGGCAAGATTTGAGAGTAAGGGTTGAGGGAGCCTACGGCTGGTTGGAGTGTAAAGTGTATAGGAGGCGCGTCCTCAGCATTCCGAATGAAATTAGTTCTTCTGGAGGCGGCCATAATGATCTAATGGGGAGCCTGTGTGACACGTGACTGCAGCAGCTTGATCAATGGCGCTGTCCTGGAGAAGAAAGGGTGGAGCGCCAATTCTGCGGAGGGGGTCTAGACCAACCCTTGGGTTTTCGTTGCCGCCGATGGAGGCCAATTCTACGGTGCAAGATTCAAACTACGGAGCGGTCAATGAGACACCAAGTTCAAGAAAGGAGGACTCCACAAGTGGGGATGAGGAAAACGGGGTTGGTCAACAACCTTCCTCGCCCCCTTTTTGCAGTCCTCCAGTGAGGATCCCGGCCGACTGGGGAGGCCCACCGAGGCTACGTGTTCGCCTTGCCTTTCAATAGCCATTGATTGGCTCGCGCGGCGGTCAAGAACGGTGTCAAGGAAGGGTTTTTGAAAGCAAGGCGCCCTTGCACCCCTCGATTCTAGGCACCGTCTGCATGCGTTCTCAATCGGACGGGGCTAGGACGATGATAGATTGGTTACAGAGCGTTCCGGAACGCTCTGAGAAGGCCGCGGCGCCGGGGACATCTTCCAGAGCCGCCGGATATCAGAGATTCCCGATGTATCTTCACCCGATGTTATCATCGTCCTGGCTTCGTCAGGTCACCCCCCGCGGCGCGGAGAGAATCGCGCCTCGTGTGATCGCGGCGTGGGTTGGAGAGGCGCCCCTCTTCCGGACGGCGGCGCGAAGGAGCGAAAGCAAGCGCGCCTGGCGGGGAGCGATGCGCGAAGGTAAGTTTGGTGAACCCGTTTCTGTCTCCTGGGTCTACGGCTGCCTGGGCATCTATGTCCTACGTCGAACGTTGCTTGGGCATCTTGGCGCGTTTAGGACGCCCTGTACATCTCCAAGGCATCCTTGTGGCCGAAGCGCACTACGGCGTCTGCGAGAGGGCAAGGAAAGATGACCGAGCGGGGCGATGGGCTTCAGGGGTTTCGTGCAAGGGCGTGGCTCCTGGAGGGTTCTCCCCAGGCGTTCCACCTGCAGAGAGAGAGGGGGAGAGAGGCGAGAGAAGAGTAGCAGAGAGCAAGGGAATCGATGCGTTGATCTACAATAGCCTTCGGCACATCCCACCACGGTGCTTGGGTTGTGGGTCAGCGTGCTCAAGGATGCTTCTTCGGGTCTCTGCAGAGCGCTCTCGGGGTCTCTCGGGAGCAGCTTGGGGGCCTCTTAGGAGCCTCCTGGGGGTGTTTGGGGAGCCTCCTGGGGGCCCCCTGGGGCCTCTTGGGGGCCTCTTGGGGCATCCTGAGGGCCCCTCGGAGCCGAATGGCGACGAAGGTACCCCCGCGCCGGGCGAGGGTGAAACCAACGGGCGGCGCGACGCCGCCGCGCTCCAGGGGAGGAAGACGTACCCACCGGTCGGACCGAGGTTTGAGAGGGAGGTCGGTTCGGGGAGGGTGCCTTGATGCTCTTCGTGTCTGCTGGCTGTTCTTTTGTGCACCCTGGCTCAGAATCTCCGCTCGGGTTCCCCATCTGGGGGCTTCCTCTTGGGGCCCTCCTGCGGCCCTCCTGCGGCCCCTTTGCTTCCTCTGGCGCTCCGGCGCCCCCGCCGAGCTCTGATAGGGCCGTCCTTCCGGGACGTTTTCTGGCGCTCTGCTCTCTGCTCTCCGCTGCGGCCCCATTCGGGCCGCATTGGGCCCCCTCTTCGGGCCGTCTCGGGGCCGTCCTGTGCGCGTCTTGGGCCGCCTTTTGGGGCCCTCTTAAGGGGGCCTCGTGGGCCGACTTGGGGCGACTTGGGGGGCTTCGTGGGCCTCGTGGGCCGCAGCGTAGGGGGTTGACAGATATCCTGCCCTGACACGCCGATTAGCGCATTGGCCGTTTTCGGTTCGCGAGAGGGCGTCGCGGCCGTCATTTTTGCGGGTCCAGGTCCGTCGGTTTCGGTCCTGGGCCGTTCCCACGAAATGGAGGTTTACTAGAGGGAGGTTTGTCCACCGCCGATATTGGAGCGTCAAGAAGCCGAACAGACGAGAACGCCAACATCTCTCAACGACCTAAGGAGATCAATGATGTTGGCCTCTCGGGGCCCCCTCTGGCGTCCTGGAGGCCCGTTGGGCAGTCTTGGGGCCGCCTTGGACAGCTTGGGCCGATCGTTCGGCGACTTGGGGCCCTCGTGGGCCATCTTGGCCCGTCCTAGGGCCCTCTTGGCTCCGAGAAAGGCGAGCGACGAGACGCGGCAGGCCTCATGTGGGGCACGCGGGAAGCCCCACAGGCGATTTGGCACCCTGGTCTCCGGGCAGCAGAGCGTGCGGCAGACATCGTGAAATGCAGCAACGGCGATGAAGGATACTCCAGATTTCGTAATAAAGGGAGGGGGGTCTCATTTCGGGGGGGGTCTCTTCCAGGCTATCTTGGAGGGCCTGGGGGGTCTGGGGACGATGTTTTGGAGGTTTCTCCCACGGGGGAGGTCTGAAATGGCTTGTCTTGGAGGGTCCAGACCCCCTCCCTTTTATTACGACATCTGGAGTAGATGAGGGAGGCGTCGTCCAGAAGTACAGTCGGGGCCCTGAAGAAGGAACCCTTTTCGTTGGGGAGGGGCTCCGCGTTCCTTAAAGTGTTTCGCAGCTTGCCTCAGGCTTTCCTTATATGTTTTCGATACGGAATCGAAGTTTAACTTATGAAAAAAGGGGGCCTCGTTCCTTCTTTTGGGTTCCTTAGGTCAAGGCCCCGACTGCAGACCTCTTTTCAGATGCAGCAGCGGATCGATGGTTGCGCTCTCGATCTGGGCATGTGGAGCGCTGGCCGCTCGAACAGCAAACGGCGGTGCGGACGCTCGCCACGCCCGCTGACATGTTATCCAGCCCTCTGACCTACGTTCAGAGTCGAGGGGGAAGGAGACGAGCGGTGGCGAGCATCATGCTACATCTTGCGAGACAGTACTGCAGGGCGCACATAGCCTAAGGAGATGATCTCGACTCCTGACTGCTTTGAGGCTACGGGGCCCGCACGTGACAGAAGTAGCGGTCTCGGCAAGCCTTGCCCGACTCGGCCAGGTGCCAGCGTCGAGTTTGCGAAGAAATTAGTAGCAGACAGGAAATAGCGTGCACACACGCCTCGTCCAGGGGGAAGGGCAAACCCCTCCCTAAAGGTGATGAAGGGGAAAGGAAGATGAAACTCGCTAAACCTCTTGATCCTTCTCCGCTACCATCCTCCAGGATAACGTCCTCCATTCTCTCTCTTATGTTGTTCGTGGTTCCCTCCCCGCTCCCCCCCCCCCGGGAACAGGCTGGCGTGTACTACTATTGGGACCCGGTGTCTGGCCAGACCATGGCGAGCCCCCGCTCTCGTTGGCGGGGAGGACACGGAGGGAAGAAGCAGGAAGGATCCAGCGATCGTTCATCGCTTCTGGTGCAGCCTCCGTTCTCGTTGGTGAGGAGGACACGGAGGGAAAAAGCAGGAAGGATCCAGCGATCGCTCATCGCTTCTGGCGCCTGGACTGCGGTCGCGCGGGTCGCCCAGCGGGCACGGCCCCGCAAGTCGGGGAGCGCCCGCAGCTTCTGGCGCGCGTCCCGCGGCAGGGTGCCCGCCGCGCTGCCTGGGTCCCCCGCCGCGGCGCGAAGATGGCCGCGCTTGCGGAGGAAGACGAGTCCACATGTCCACCTCGCTCCTCCCCCCCTCCCCCTGAGCCCCATCCCCTGGGACGGGGGAGGGTTGGAGGAGGAGGAGGAGGCGGAGGAGGAGCAGGAGCAGGAGCAGGAGCAGGAGCAGGAGAAGGAGGAGGAGGAGGAGCAGGAGCAGGAGCAGGAGCAGGAGGAGGAGGCGAAGTGGTCGGAGGAGGAGGAGGAGGAGGAGGATGGGGGGGGAGAAGGAGGTGGACTTGTGCAGTATATCGCTTCCCACGCTTCGCGGTCTTGAAGGCTGCCGCGCTTCTGTGGGAGTGGCCGCGCAGTTTTGCGCGCGAGAGTCTCAGCGTGCAGCGAGAGGAAGCGCGAGAGGTCTGGTCGCTGGGCTGGAGTGCGGGGTGCCCCCGCGCTGAGATCATGAGGAGTGTCTTCGAGGGGAGGGGGAGGGGGCGGAGGAGTGGTGTGTGTGTGTGCTGATGTCATGGCCAGGGCCATGATATCTCTCATATGTTGAGGAGTGTCCACCAGGGGAGGAAGGGGGGCGGAGGACTCGTGTGTGTGTGCGTGTGTGTTTGTGTGTGTGTGTGTCTGTGTCTGTGTCTGTGTCTGTGTCTGTGTCTGTGTCTGTGTCTGTGTCTGTGTCTGTGTCTGTGTGTGTGTGCGTGTGTGCGTGTGTGCGTGTGTCTGTGTGTGTCTGTGTGTCTGTGTGTCTGTGTGTCTGTGTGTCTATGTGTGTGTGCGGGTTCGAAGCTCAGAAAGAGCGTGTTCTACCGCTGCTGGCGGAAAAGCTGGGGTGGTCACTGGGGGTTCCCAACCCGTCCCCCCCCCCCCTCGAAAACCGGTGGGGGGTCACTACCGGTTCGAACCCCTCCCCCCCCCCCCCGAAAAGGGGGGTCACTACCGGTTCGTCACTACCGGTTCGAACCCCCCCCCTCCCCCCCCCTTCCCCCCTCGAATCCTGGGAGGGGTCACTACCTGTTCGAACCCCCCCCCCCCTCGCCGCCGGCAAACGATTCCCGCTCCTGGGGACAGTTGGACAATGGTGGGAATGCTGGGACAGTGGTGGGAACGGTGGTGGTGGGGACAATGGTGCGGGGGCAGTTGGACAGTGGTGCGGACAGTGGTGGGGAAGGTGGTGGTGGGGACGGTGGGACAGCACAGTGGGACAGCGGCGGGGACAGTGGGACAGTGGTGGGTACAGTGGGACAGTGGGACAATGGTGGGGACCGCGGGGAAAGTGGGGAGGGTGGGACCGGGGGACAGCGGGGACAACGGTGGGAACAGGGGGGACAGTGGGAAAGTGGTGGGGACGGGGGTGGTGGGGACAGTGGTGTGGGGACAGTGGGAGTGTGGTGGAAACAGTGGGACAGTGGAGGGTACAGTGGTGGTGGGGACAGTGGTGAGGGCGGTGGCGAGGACGGCGGTGGGATAATGGGACAGAGGTACAGTGGGGACAGTGGTGGGGACAGAGGTGGGAACAGTGGGACAGCCCAGTGGGACAGCGGCGGGGACAGTGGGACAGTGGGACAGTAGGGACAGTGGGACAGTGGTTGGGGCCGTGGAGAAAGTGGGGTGAGTGGAACCGTGGTGGGAACAGTGGTGGGGACAGTGGGGACAGTGCGACAGTAGTGGGGGCACTGATGGGGACAGTGGGGACGGTGGTGGGAACAGTGGGGACAGTGGTGGTGAGGACAGTGGTGCTGGGGACAGCAGTGGGGGATGTGGTGCGGACGGTGGTAGGAACCCGGAGTCGTTTGCTGGCGGTGAGCGTGGGGGGGGGGAGGGGTTCGAATCAGTAGTGACCCTCCCTTGTTTTTCGGGGGGGGGGTGTTCGAACCGGCAGTGACCCCCCCGGTTTTCGAGGGGGGGGGAGGGGGGGAGGGGGGGTTCGAACCGGTAGTGACCCCTCCCGGTTTTCGAGGTGGGGGGGGGGGTGACCCCCCCTGGTGAGAGGGCGGGGGGTGGTTCGAACCGGTAGTGTAGTAGCCCCCCTCCGTTTTCCGGAAAGGGGAAGGGGGTGGGTTTTGCCGGGGGGAAGGGGGGGGGTCCAGGGGGGGGGGTCCAGCAGGGGGGGGATTCTCGGAGGGGGGGGGACCCCGGGGTTCTGGAAGAAGAGGCGGGGGAATTTTCCATAGTAAAGCGGCGGTGGATCACGCTCTCTCGAAGCTCAAGAGACGAGGGTCAACGCAAACGGGGGTCAGCCAGAGCGCGGGATCTTGCAGGATCCTGTAAAGCCAAGTTTGCACTGACCCGGGGGATAGCGCGCAGGATCCTGCAGGACCTTGCTGGCTCCTGCAACGCCCGGCGGGCCCGAGGCTGCGCTGACCCGGGCCAGCAGCTCCCCGACGGCTGTCATGGCCAGGGCCACGATATCTCCCGGATGTTGCGGCCGGCCCCTTCCCCTCCTCTCGGCACGTTTCCAAGCCCCCCTCGTCCGCACGCGCCTCCGGCCGTGCTCTGCTGCCCCCCCCCTCGCCCACGCCCCCCCCTGGGGGACCTCGGGCGCCTGCACGGCCTCGGGCCTCCGAAGGATTCTTGATTGCTCGTGTTCCCTCGGTGTCGGCCTCCGGTTGCCGCGTTCGGGCCCCGGGGCCATCCAACCGCTTTCGGGCCCCGTGGCCACCAAACATGGATCGGGTGCGGATAGGTGACAGTGATAGTTTTCGTAGTCTTTGTTTTGCCGATCGGCGCAGGCCCTCGCACCCCCCCCCGCTCCCCCCCCCCCCGGAGTGGATCTTGGCTGTGTTGGGCGCCTGTTTCAGGCAGGTGGGGTCTCGCCCAGCGGGCGCACTGCTGCAAACAGTCGCGCTGAGCAGAGGTCTGGAGCCAGACCCCCCCCCGTATACCCCCCCCCCTTTTTCGCTCGATGTCGAAGCGCCGAATGAGAAAACGCTCACTGGGTGCCCTCGAGGAAGGGGCTGGACACGCTCCACCGCTGACGTCCGTCAGCTTCTGCCCGCCCCTAAGGAGGAGGAGGAGGAGGAGGGGGAGGAGGAGGAGGAGGAGGAGGAGGAGGAGGAGGAGGAGGAGGAGGAGGAAGAGCAGAGGAAAGCTTTTACGCTCAATGGGGGATTCGTTTCGCGTGTGGTGACCAAACGAAGCGGCGCGTACGCAGCCCGGCGGGGTCGTGGACTGACACACACAAACACGTCGGCATCCTCCGACATTCCGAGACCACCCAGTTCGGGGCCAGAAACATGTGTACACCTTAGGCGATGCTTAAGAAAACTTAAGTTTTCGTCCAGAGTCTCGATTATTCTTAAATTTTCAGTGTGAATCCTAAGATTTGAACGGAAATTTTGGGTTTTTACTCAAGTTCTGAGACTATGAATTTCTTAACCCATGATTTCTTAAGCATTTCGCAGGGTGTATTACAGTATGTCATTTTTGCTCATATGTGATGGCAAATGGCGGCCCCACGCACAGCGCAGACATGTCTCTCGACCTTTGTCGCCTGGAGAACCGGCCAGAAAAGGATACACGGTACGTAGTCCTGTGGCGTTTCTGCGAAGCCCCGGGACAGGGCTCGCATACTTTTAGTGCAGGTACGCGTTGTCCCCGCCAGGTTTTATCTGGTAGCAAATAAAGGGAGCCTCGTGTACCATCGCAAGTCCGCTCTTACACGCCATTAGCGTCGATTTGCGTCTGGCAATCAATGAGATAGCGCTGAACTAGCGTCGATAAGCGTCAATGTAGCGTCGGTCAGCTTCGATCAGCAAGAGCCCTCAAGATGGTATGAGAGGCTCTCATGCGTTGCGCCTAAGTGTCTCAAGACTCGTCTGCAGTGGTAGGGTTCACGCATGGTTGCTTACCGTGTGCACGCCACACGGCAGGGTGCCCCCCCTTCGCCGCCTGATAGCTCCCTCAACGAATCGGGCTCCTGGGGCACGCTCGGGGCAGAATCTCGAGGCGGATCCCGCCTTGGTGAACGGGCGCGCCGTCAAAAACCCAACCCTGAGATCCGACGTCGCAGAACAATTGCAACATCTAGGGGATCGAATAATGACATAAACATAGCAACTTGGAGGTCTGCGCGGATTCCTCGGATCCACGCTGGACCCCCCTCCCTGGTGCGCGGAGCGCGCCAGGGGCGGCGCCGGAGGCGGCGCCAGGGAGGCCCGCGAAATCCACGCGGACCTCTGAGTTTTTGCTGTTCATGTCAGTCTTCGTCTCCCCAAACATCCCGAGAAATGGCCACCGGAGCCCCAGACCCCATCTCTCGTCACTATCTACCAAACCACTCCAACCCAACTCGAAGGCTCAATTTGCCTTCCATCTCCAGTGGGGGGGGGTCGAGGAACATCGAAAAAACACACATGGAACCCGTGACCCACCCACCCAACCTGAAATTCGGGTCTTCGGGTTGGGTTGGGGTGGTCTGGTAGTTAGTCTCTCTTTACGTCAGTTTTCGGGCCGGATCGATCTGTGACGGTCCCAGGGCCGAGGCCAGGCGAGAGCGTCCGTTGTGGAAAAATTGCAGCTCCAGGGCCTCACGGAAAAAAAAAGCTCTTCGATGATCTCTTGCAGCTTCGTCGTCATGGTAGCTTTAAGTCGGGCCTGTCCTTCTACAGGAGGAATATCCCAAAATAGTCCAAAAATAGTCGGGGGACGATTTCCGATTATTCTTTTGTCATTTTGGAGCATTTCTGATGTATTTTAAATTTTTCCTTCCAAAATCCATTTGTAGGGGGACAGGCCCGACCTAATCGTCGTTGCATCTCGCTCGCCATCAACAGAGGCAGGGTTCTGGAGCACAGGGGTCCTGACGATTTCGCCGTGCTCCGGTTTTCGGGGTGAGGATGAAGCACTGGGGAAAGCCCCGGGATCCAGGACGCGTTTCCAGAGGACCCCTCCATTCCAACAAGGTCAGAAGGGGAAGCACAGGTCGCTCGGGCAGCGAGGTCTGTCGTCTTCTGACCGGCGGTGGCCGTTCTCGGGCGACATGGGGCAGTCAAGGCTCGGCCCCAGGACGAGAGACCGGCCAGGGCGGACCCTGGGAGGAGTCTGGGAGCCCACTTGGAGCGGGCTGTGGTGTACAGCCGGACCGGGGCGTAAGGTCGAGGTCGGTTCGGGGAGGGTACCCTCATGTTCTTCGTGTTTGTCGGATGTTTTCCTTCCTCCTCCTACCGTTATTTTTCCTCCTCTTCCTCCTCCTCATCATCTTCCTCTTCCTTTTCCTCCTCCTTCGATCCCCGACCCCACGATGCCTTCGGTGCAACGCGTGAAGGCAGGGCCCCGCATCGCGAGCCGCGAAAGCCATTGTCCGTATCCGCGCCCCTGTCTTGTTGCAAAGCATCCGTTCCAGAGTCCTGGCACGCTCTGAGCAGGCTGCGGCGCCAGAGACCTCTTCCAGAAGCGCCGGGTCTCCGAGGTTCCCGATCTCTCCTCGCACGATGCTGCCCTCGCCCTGGTTTCTGGTCCGGCCTGTCCCTCTACCGGGGGGGGGAATATTCAACAATAGTCAGAAAATAGTTTGGGGGCCCATTTTTGAGTTTTTGTTTTTCCCATTCTGAAGTATTTTTTGTTGTATCTCTGATTTATCGTCGAGCATCTCCCTGTAGGGGGACACGCCCGACTTCACCCTGGTTTCGTCTTGGCACGCCTGGGCTTCCGCGCCCCCCCCGCGCAGCGCGCCGCCGACGGGGGCCGCGCCCGCGCCGCCCCCCGGCCGGAGGCGGACCCTCCGCCGCCCTGGGAGAAGAAGCAGTCCCGCACCAGGCCGGGGCCTCGTGCCCGCCCAAGCGGCGGCCCGCCGGGTGGCTGGGTCTCCTCCTCGTCCTCCTCCTCCTCCATCCTCCCTCCTCCTCCTCCTCCTCCTCCTCCTCCTCCTCCTCCTCTCCTCCTCCTCCTCCTCCTCCTTCCTCCTCCCCCTCCTCCTCCTCTTATGCCGGGCATGTCCCTCTACAGCCCTCCCAGAAGATCTACCCCTCAGAACTTGTTTTGGAGTTGTTCAAAAGTTGAAACCATGTTTTTCGAATAAGTAAGATTTGAGTTGTTTTGAAGTAGTATATGTTTTCGCACACGCACCGCGTCCAACACAATGCTTGTTGTCTTCACTTTGCGCAAAAATCCACAGCCATGATTGCACCATCTGTTCAATATCGGGACAGGCACGTGCTCGCGACCATTGTAGGTTATATGGGGCCAGTATCGGCTGTCTCGGGGCCACCATAGGCTGTCTCGGGGCCATCATAGGCTGTCTTGGGGCCGTCATAGGCTGTCTTGGGGCCGTCTTGGGGCCATAATAGGCTGTCTCGGGGCCATCATAGGCTGTCTCGGGGCCATCATAGGCTGTCTTGGGGCCATCATAGGCTGTCTTGGGGCCATCATAGGCTGTCTTGGGGCCATCATAGGCTGTCTTGGGGCCGCCATAGGCTGTCTCGGGGCCATCATAGGCTGTCTTGGGGCCATCATAGGCTGTCTCGGGGCCATCATAGGCTGTCTTGGGGCCATCATAGGCTTTCTTGGGGCCGTATTGGGGCCATCATAGGCTGTCTTGGGGCCATCATAGGCTGTTTTGGGGCCATCATAGGCTGTATTGGGGCCATCATAGGCTGTCTTGGGGCCATCATAGGCTGTCTCGGGGCCATCATAGGCTGTCTTGGGGCCATCATAGGCTGTCTTGGGGCCATCATAGGCTGTCTTGGGGCCATCATAGGTTGTCTTGGGGCCATCATAGGCTGTCTCGGGGCCATCATAGGCCGTCTTGGGGGAATGTTCCTCGCTTGGGCGTTGCATCTCCGAAAGCGTTCCATTGTCATGTTGGTCACCGTTATCTTCCGTAACCGTTTTGGCCCACGTTTGTTTCTTAATATTCTTTGTTGTTTTGCGATTGCGATGCGCATTGCGAGCATCGCATGTCCGACAGCGAGGGCGCTGCCAGCGCAGGCGGTTCCTCTGACGGTTCCGTTGCCGCCCTAGGGTGGCGCAGCCCCTCCTTGCCGTCCGACGTCGAATCACACGTGGCCCTGGGATGGCGCAGCCCCGCATCTTTATCAGATAGTACACTTCGTGATTGCCCAACGCCTTCCGACGTGGATGACGGAGATGTTGATGTGCATGATGCCCTCGATGCCGCCCCAATCGCTGGCGACCCAGGGAGCGACCCTCCTGGCCCTGATGATGCTCCGCCTAGACGTATCTCTGCAGCTAAATCGTTGAGGTTTTTGGTCAAAGGCCTCACGGCAGCGTTCGGCGGTGATGCCCCGATGTTGGCTTTAGAAGATGACGAGGGCGCCGCGGGGGGACCCCACGATTCCGCTGGCATCGAGGACGTCGACGGCGCGCTGGCTTGGCTCGTTCAGAGACACTTCCCCGCAGGATGCGAGGATGTTGTGCCTCGCGCAGTGGACGAAATCGTTTTCCATCACACGATTTACGACACGCATTTCTTCGACTTGGCGGTGGCAATCGCTAGATGCATCCAAAGATTGGCACAGCAACGTCAAAGAGTCGATGAGACCAACAACCGTCTTATGCAGCGATACCTCATTGACCCCGGCCTCACGTTGACCAAAGTTGCACAAGCGAAGCTGGACAACGTTGATCGGAAGAGGGTGAGTAATATTCAAACTGGTTTGGCGATGGCCGCTGTGCTGTATGACAGAATGGACGCATTATCGTTCATGGCGCACGTAGCGCGAGAAGTTGCGATGGATCCTGCCAGCGTGTTGATCAGTCTTACAGAGTTTTGCCGCTACGACGAAACGCCGTTGAGATTCAGGACCAAATCGGATGTGTCGGATGCTAGATTGGAGGCCGCTGCGCGCGACGTCAAACTACAGAATATCATTGGCCCGACAGATGTTGACGAGGACCCCTTGATCGCCAAACTCTGCCACACCCAGCATTCGGTCTCAATGCTTTTTTTAGCATCTGGTCAATATTGGTGCATTGAGTTTTCATTCCCTCAGTGGCTGCAGAGCATGATGAGTAAGCAAGGGGAATGTTATTATCGTTGTGTGCAGATGGGTAGGCTTCCATTGAAAAATACGTGTGCGCTTTATGCTCGCGCTCAGCGCATAGCCACCACGGACGATGATGGGGCAATCGGCCGCTGCGAGGCGGGCATTGCACAGAAGAACACCAGCGTGCACAACATGAGGTGCAAGTGCGAAGTCCACAGGTCAGCTGGAATCAGAAAGAAGACCATGAAACTGTTCAAAGCCCACATTTCGTTTTTGATACACGTATCTCTGTCTATTGGAATGGGCTCGGCTATGGTAATAATGAGGCAGGAGTTTCGGGACGTACTCAAATCATCATTCGAGTTCCGTCGCGGGGCGCCGCCTCCGCACTACGGCTCGGAGTTACAGGATCTCCTCGACGTCTTCTGGCACCAGAATGTGAGAGTTGTCCAGCTCAGGCGAGTTATCGTGGAAGCTCTGTTCACAGGGAGCACTGCCGAGGAACAGGTGGTCCACTACTGCTGTGGCTGCTGTTCTGGGCCCGAGGACAGCCCTCGGAAATTCTTGGCGCTTCGCGCATCCCCGCCAGCTCACCCAGGAACGACGCCAAGGCGAGTTTAGGTGATCAGGGGCGCGTGGGAGCAAAGCAGGGGATCGCCGAACCCTGCGAGGGAGGGAGGAGGAGGAGGCTGGATGGATGGATGAGGGAGTGGGTCGAAGAATGATGATGCATAGGATGGGGAGGAGGAGGAGAAGGAGGAGTATGAGGAGAACGATGAGCCGTCTTGGGGCCCTCTTGATCCGTCTCGGGGCCCTTTGGGGCAGCCTGGAGCCGTTTTGCGGCCCCCTGGAGCCGCCGCGGGGCCCTCTCGGGCCTTTCCGAAAGCCCCAAGGCGGCTGCAAGAGCCCCTCAGGAGAGTCCAACAATCTTGTCACGAGCAGGGCCCTCTTTTCGTGACAAGTTGTTGGGTTCTCTTGAGGAGCTCTTGGAGCCCTCGGGGGCCACCCCAAGGCCCTCAGACGGCCCCAAGGGGGCCTCGAGGGACAGACCGCAAGGGAGAGGGCATGGAGACGGGTTTGATTCGGAAGCTGGAAAAGGAAACGCCCTAAACCACCTACGCCCAGTGGGCTGGTTGGATTTCTCGTGCACGGCGTTCAGGCCCTCTGTGGGTCTGCGCCCAAGCCGTTTGCTCTGAGCAGGTGGACTCGACAGGAGGACGTCGTGAATTGGGTGGGCATGTTCGAAGGGTGCAACAGGCTGTTCACGAGGACGTTCCGCAAGTTCTGCGTCAGAGTTGGCTCACGACTATGTAAAGGGTTGTGCCCGCTGTCTGTCGCCCCCGCCGCTGGTCTAGCTGGTCTGGCTGGTCTGGTTGGTCAGGCTGGTCTGCTTGGTCAGGTTGGTCTGGTTGGTCTGGCTGGTGGCTGGACTGGCTGGTCTGGTTGGTCTGGCTGGTCTGGTTGGTCTGGCTGGTCTGGCTGTTCTGGCTGGCTGGTCTGTTGTTTGGCTGGTTTGCACGGATGGCCGCAGCGCCGTGGCCCCCGCTGAGGGGCAGGCGGATCTCAGCGCCCCAGAGACGCCCCCGTTGCAGCGCCATGGGAAGAGAGCGCTCTAGCGATCCAAGACGTACAACCCGCAGAGCCAGATCGTGACGCCCCAGGGGCCGCGGGTGCAACCAGCCACGACGCGTCTTCTACGTGGGAGGCGCATCAGACTCAACAATCACGCTCCAGGTCCCTCGTCCTAGGCATGTGCGGCTATTGCGCGTCGGAGCAGGGCTGCCTCGGTGATCTGATCGTCCTCGCGCACGTCCTCGAGCCTCAGAGGAAGCTGATGGCAGCGCCCCTGTACCTCGGAGGGGCGTCGTTCGAGGAGTGCCAGCTAGAGAAGTCAGCGCTCGCCGAGTTGAGGAGCCTGGAGATCGCCGATGCCAGGAAGTATCGTGGGCTTATCGCTGCCACGTGTGAGCTCGAGGAGACCGTGATGCGAGACGTGTCAGCTCTCATGTCGAATCCCCGGCCGTGGGCAGCACTTCGCCCCCATTCCAGGACGAGGGCTTTGCGTACGAAAGCTTTTCAGGCGCTCTCCATGCGCATGTGCCTCGCAGCGGGGATGCGCGCTTTCCACAATGGGTACCCCTTCAAGCTGTTCAGGTTGCTCATCACCCCAGACGACTCGACGTTGCTTGACGACATCGCAACCGACGAACACATGTGGTGCCCATGGTCCAGGAAGTTCATAGAGACTTGGTGCCAGGACGGGATCTGGTCAACCTTAGCGCTGGTCGATCTTCGCGTCACTGTGATAATGGCTCTTTTCGACACGTCGGCATTGGAAGCCAAGCACGCTGCAGTGCGCAGGGTGCTCGTGGGGCTCAGCAGCCAGACCGCTGCCCCCGAAGTCGATGTTACCTCGGCGATGGAGGTGCTGAGGCTGCACAGGAAGCATGCCGCACGCTTGAAACCAGTACTGTTTCCAGATCATGCTGGTGACGACCGCGACCCGCCTGGCGGCGCTGACCATGACCTGGGGGGCAGGAGCACTTCGAGCCGTAAAGCTGGCGGCGGGGGCCCTTGGCGATGCTACGTGGCGGATAGCCCAGACATTCGCGACCTCGGGCTGGTCGCGGCCATGCATTGGGGTTTGACCGATGCCGAGCGTGCTGACCTGGAGAAGAGGGGGCGCGAGGGCACCCTCCGACATAGGAAAGGCGAGACGAGCTTCCACGGCAAAGCTCGGGACCTCGAGCGGGCCGCGAAGAGGCAGCGGACTGACAACGATATCGAACGCAGCATTCGCCAGAGAGCTAT